ATGTATAAAATGTAATGAACATAAATACCTACATCAGGTAGCTAAATAGGTAACAATGTACTTAACTGCCAATAGTATTAAATAATATATGATTGTGGACTGTTTCAATGAGCTTGACAAATTAAAACAGTAACCAATAATATATTCAGTGGCAACTCGTCCTATGGTGGACAGGAGCAGTGCACCACCTATAGTTTTGAAAACTATAGGTACATTGTTTTATTGTATTATTACAATATAAAAATATATTATCAATTATTATAATATATAATATATTATAAACTAGAAATACATTCGTATTAACTTTAGAGACAAGAATGAAAATTATTTTATTGAATTAAAGAAATATTTAATGCAAAAAGTCGAGAAAAACTATTGTTAACGCAAGTTATAGGTGTGCCATCATACACAATTAATAGCCACAGCAGTCACAGAATATAAATGGGCAAATACAATTTTTGCACCAGTTGCGCAAACGCATTGGAACGTTTCGGTCCCACTATTGGCACAACTGCCATTAATCTTAGTGATGTGTTGGTGCACAAACGAATATTGTACCGCTGCGGCTGTACAGCCGTCTGCCCTTACTGACGGAGAATACATTAAGAACTGATTATTTCTTTTGAACTGAAATTCGTGTGAGTGGCGAGTGGCGATATCTCCAAAACTACCCTATATTATATGTATTATGTACTTACATAATATAATTGTAACTATTGTATTTTTGAATTTTAGATATTTTCTTATTTTGTAACAATGATTGTAACATGATTAGACACCATTTATCTCCTTATCTGCCTGTATTATTTGATATCGTGTAGTAACCACAATTTAAGAAAGAAGCAAAAATGCTTGACTTAAGGTCTTAAAAGAAGCAGTGGATCTTACTGAAGTTACTGTTGCTCAGCGTGGCGTTCTCAGGAATTGTCATTGGAGGGGAGGGGTGTTAGTAATTTCTAGAAAAATATGAAAGGGACTATTGGCACACACCCTTCTAGTTTGATATTTAATTTTTTTTTTTTTTTTATAATATTATATTATAAAAAAAGACGTCCTAGGATAATGATGACGGGTGTAGCCCCTGTTATATTAATAATTTAATGTATACCTGTAAGCAGAGATAAACCATTGCTTACGAAAAAAAAATTTTGAGTGGAGTTCAATTGTTAATGATGCTTTATTAACAACATAAATGCTATATTATAGTAAAATAAATAAATAGGCTCTACATATTTTCATTAATAATAGTTATTCAATATTGTATTGATTTTTCCGTTTTTCCCGGTTTTTATATTTGCTGGGAAAACTTGAAAAATCGAAAAATTAACCTCTCTAAAGTACCTCCCCAGTCAGATTTCCTTTTTAAAAAAAGTGCTATCATTGATTATAATGCTTATTTGTTTAAAAACAATAACCTTAATAAACAATATTGAATAGAATAATTTTTTTTTTTTGCAGCAATAAAATTTACTGTGAATCCAAGAAAATTATCTGATATTGATTTGTATCTTTGCCCTTTTGTAATGGATAGAGTTCCCCATTCAATTTTTTACAGAACTTATGGATAACACCCTGCCGCCCCACATTATATAAGGTTATACGGGGACCAAAAGTTAAACCTGTGCATACAGATCAAGAGTTGGTAAATTTACCCCAATATGGAATCATAACATCCTATATAGCTGATCTAAATAGGCCACCTGGCCTATTACAACTTATTGATTGCCTTCTCACTCCCCACACTCCATCGAGAAGTAAATAACAGATCCCAAATCAGTGAATGATCAAATTTTGTATTTGTTTGTAAATTTAAAACATTTAGAATTATTACCTAGTTAGATTAGGTTAGGTGGCTATAACACTTGTAACAAAAATTATTTTTAATAATTCTGTGCACAACTCAATAGTATTATTTTGCATATTCTAATGATACTAAATATATAAATGCAAATTTGTTTTATACTGTTTGAAACTTGTTAAACATATACTTTGTATAAAATAATTTACCAAAGAAATGATATAAGTAAAGATAATACGATACTGATGCATAGTTTGAGGTTGATTTTAAAGTTTGAGTACTTATATTATTATAACTTGAGGTGCAATATTAATGGTAAATGTAAATATTGTAAAGTTTAATGTAAGCATAAGATATAAAAATATAATAAATATTTCTTATTGTAACTTGTGTACAATTCTACAATTATTTTATACATGTTTAAGGAATATTAAGATAATATTTAAATATATTTTTTAGAGCATATTAGCATCATATTTTAAACTTTTAAGAACCCAAAACTCTGCTCTCTAATTATAATCTACCATTATATATTATTTTATAAAATTAGTGTTCCCAGCAATCCCATTTAGTGTTCACATTATACCAGGGTTGGTAATATATGTTTTCAAACTTGTTTTTGAAATTCACTCTTAAAAATTAAAAATACTTTCTATTTCAGATATTAAGTTAGGTTTTTAATTTTTATACCTAGTAAAAGTATATTAAGTAGGTAAAATATTTTTGTTTGCAATTTTCTTTCCTAATTGTTTTGAATAGATACTTAAATAGAAAATAATAGTTATAATTTTTGTTTGTTTAAATGTTTTGTAATTAAAATTACACACAAATTATATTTTAAAATTGTGTTTCCATATTTTAACACACACTGATGAACTATAATATTAATAAATATACTACACCTACTTAATGTTTTGTGTATAATTTAATAGTACAAAAATAATAAATGTGTTATAAGTATCACAAGTACAATGCATTTATTATAAGTATTAAATAGGTTCATGATAAGATAATGATAATCATTAGTAATAGAATAATAATAGGACAATTGTCTATTTATAATTTATATTTCCTTATTTTATTGTTTAAATTATGAATGTAGTTTATTAAGGATTTTATTTGCATACTGTATAAAACATATATAATTATATGTTTTATACTTTTCCATATTAGCCTCTGCATTATACAAAAATGAATATGCATGCACATGACATAAGAGTAATTTGGATGACACCATAATATTTGCAGTTGACATAGCTAAGTTTTTTGTTCAATAGGAATTAATTATTTAATTTTAATATAATTAACATAGAAATTGTATAATTGGTATTCAATATCAATTGCCAATTACACACTGAATATCCTTAAAAAATATATATATTTGTTTAAGTAGTAACTATAGTTAACCATAATTTATTACAATAACTTTGTAGGTTTGTAAATATCCATAGTGTTTTTCTTATATAATATTAAATTATTGTGTTGTGAGAAAATATTTATACTTCAAAAACCAATATGCTGTAATTACAAACCAAGTGTAATATAATTATAACAAATTTAATAAATACCTATATAATTTAATTGTGTCATTTTTTTTTTTTTTTATTATAATTAACTGACACAAAGTCTACTAGTACTTTTTTTTATTTATTTTTCTGTACATTTAATGAAACCAGGTATATATTAGATATATCTTATAAAAAAGTTATTTATTTAGCTTTAGTTCAGCCAATTTTCTCTTATGGTTTATCCATTTGAGGAGGAATCTTTAATAACCTTATTTCTAGCCTGAGTGTTATAAATGAATTGTATTATTAAGTATTACTGAGTCTCTCTAGATAAACTAACACTATTTATTATTTATTATTCATTTATGAAAAATGTAATGCTAAGAATTGTTATACTGTTTATAAATTATCTATACTTTTAATTTTATATAAACATAAGCATTTAATAGCTGTGTCAAATCACGAACATAACACTAGATATTAAAGAAATATTTATGAACATTTATTGAATTGTTATTGTTGTTTAAAGTTTTTAGACAAAAAGTGTTATGTATACTGGTCTTGATTTAACAATGTATACTGGTTTTGAATTGGTCATTTATGAAATATTAATATTCATTAATTTGAAAATTTAAAACATTTGAAATACCTATTTATATTTATTGAAGATCATAAATCTTTGAGAAGAATTAATATTCTTTAATAAAATTAAATAAATTGTCTTAGTATGCTTGATATTACTATATACAAATATTAACAAATATTTGTCTTTAGGTTTTATGTACTCTTAAAATGATAAAAACTCGCTCCCCCAGCATAAGCTATGCTTTTAGGGAGTACTGCAATATTGTAAAATTTATATAATATTTGTTCTGTATTGTTCGTGTTCTTTTGCAATAAAGTTCTATTATTATTATTACTTAAAATTACTTGCTTAGCTAAAAAATTGTTCTTATTTCTAATAATTGTTTGACTATTGTGACATCAATTTCAAGTAAACAATAATGACTTGCTAGATACTTATTAATATTTACTATACTATTGCTTTTGCCTAATACTAAAATATATTACACACTGATAACAGCCTGCTGGTTGTAGCCGTTACTGTAACTTAATTAAGGAAAAAATGAGTTTAGCCCAATCCTGGAAATTTCTCAGTAGGTCACTGAATGATTATAATGGTCAAAAAGCAAAAATCATGATACAACACACATCACTGAGATACCCCATGGGCACAAATATTTCAAATGTTTCGGAGGGCTTAAAGCCTGATTATATAGTATTAAGTACTAACTTGTTAACTGAGGGGAGACTAAGTTCACTCTAGCAACCTCTCTCATTTTTATGAATATTGCCTTAATTAATATGTTTAATAAGAGGTGAATATAATTAAAAACAGAGAGGTTTTAGTAGTATAGTACTCATATTATAATAATAAAAAGTGGGAATACATAAATGTTTAATGAAATGTATGTAAATGCATAAAAAAAAAAAAATTCAAACTAAGTTTACAATTTAATTTATTATTTACTTTAGCTTTGTAAAAAAACATTTGATACAACTAAAAGAGATTTTTTAAGCTATTCTAAAACTAACCTAATAAAACTAATAAATTTAATTATTTTTAAAAATATTAATTAAGCTATTTAATGCAAAAAAGAAAAGTGTATAGAAGTGGAATCAAACCAGTACTCTTATAAAACTGTTTCTACTCTAGGACACTTTCTAGATGATGGGCCAGGTTCTTGGTCATCTTCGGCAATTCCAACAAATTCCCTTTTTCTACCTCCATTCTAAAAGTTAAAATTATTGCATTATTATACAGTTATAGCCAATAATATTATTATTTTGTTTTATTATTGAAACAATACAAACATGGAATAGATTATGAATTTACATTTTTATCATGTTGTCTATGTACATATCGTAGTAAAAAATTTTCCCTGTCATTCACAATAACTGAAACAAAAAAATAATACAATTAAAAATATAAACATAGGCTATAGGATACCAAACAAAATTATAATACAATTATAGTATGTTATACATATTATTATTATGTAATTTTAATTTTTTGAAAACAATAACAAAATATATTTAAAAGTTTAATGTTCTATTATACTTTAAATTAGTTATATTTTCATTTTCCAAGTTTAATAAATTTATTACAAAAATTTAAATTAAATTACAAAAAACTCAATAAAAACCATCATAAATAAGTATTTTTTAAATTATAATAATTATCGATTTTCACATAAAAATAATAATTTATACTACAATAAACTCAGTGTCAAAGTGAGTAAAGCTGAATAAGTTCATAACACTCCATCATTCTATATTTTATTTTAAACATATTACAAGACATACTATTTTTTAAGTTAATATTGACTAGCATATTTAGGCTTTGGAAGGTAGTTGCTCTAAGGCACTAAATTCTGAATTCCATAAAGAGTAGCTAGTGTGAGAGGTAAATATTTGTAAAAAGTAACATTAATATAAAATTTAAAAAACGATTTTTATGATATTTAATTTAATTTGTCTATTTTGTATTTATGTAAATAGATTAATAACAAATAACAGATTTTAACTGGTTTTCTAAAATAAATTGGAAACTATAGTTTGGCACATTGAATTTTTTTCGTTATCACTTAACAACCATATTGAAATACAACCATAGAATAATATTTTTATATATTCTGTGTAAAACTGTAAAATATAGCTTTTTACATTTTAATTAAAATTTTCAAAGTCTATTAGTTATTCAATATATTACTATAATGCAAATAAACTGTATAAATACTTTACTAGAGTTTCTCTTGTTTACATTAAAGTTAAAAATAAAATTGATAAAGCTTAAAGAACAATAAAATGTAAACAATATTATTATAACAAATATATTTAAGTATCAATACTATTTACATTTTATTGAGTTTTAAGTTTTATTTTTTAAACGTTTATGTAAAAAAGAAAAACTTAAGTTATGTGTACAATTTATTTATATACACATTATAAAAATATACTGAGTACCTAATAGTTTGACAATTGAAGAAAGGGGACAATCACATGTGATATAAAATCACAGTTCCACCTATTTTGCTGGAAAGGCGGCTTAAAAAAGAATGGTGGTGTTCCATAAATATAACAAATATATTACAAACATGTTTTGACGATATGAAAAATACTTTTCAACTTTAAAACTTTGAGAACATTAATTTACAATCTTCATTTATCCATAAAGTGCTCTGATTTAAAATGAAGTAAGATTTTTTTTAACTAAGATTACAATTTATACATAAATAGTATTCGACACCATGTATTAGAATTTGTAGATAACATTTATTGCGTAAATAGCAGACCACACAGCTACTAAAATAACTTGTAATTAAACATCATAATTACAAACCTTGATCAGATGGTGTTTCTGTTGTAGCTAAATAAATCGGTATACGCTTATATCGCCCATGGTTTGATTGAAATCGAGAAAAATTGCGTTTATCAAATGATGGCATGCCATCAATAAATTCAGCTATAGACTGAAATATATAAAATTACAATTACAAATTTGTCCATTCTTGATTTGTTAACAAACAACGAAATCTGATTACAGTGAAATATAAATACACACAGATAGGTATACAGGTATCCAGTTTGAACCTACCTATCTAAACCTATTGATTATTATACTTCTATTCATAGTTAGGTATATTTCACTTAGTAGTAAGGTTCTGTTAGAATTTTTTAAACAAAAACTAATAATAATAACATTTATAAACAGTAATAACTATGATAATTTAAAAAGAATCTTAGACAAAATTGAAATTATGTTTAATGCATAATGTTGTAGGACACGAACAAAAAATAAAATCAAAAAGTAAAACTTAGTCCATTCAAGTCATTGAATATTGACATAAAAAATAATTATTTTTTTTACATTTTTGTACCAACCTACTATTCAAATACTACTCAAGTGTAGTAAATTTATTATACATAACACAATACTATAATATATATGCATGTAAAAAATAAAAATAAATGCATACCTATTTGTATTAAAAATTTTTACTTACCATGTTTGAAGGAAAAAACCAGACTTGACCTCTAAACGGCTGCCAGATGTGTTAGGTAAGTATCGGAATTATACTGTAAACAAAAAACCAAATCATATACTAGTCCAGTAAATAAAAGATAAATTATTTTAGCAAATTACCTTATAATTTATATAAGTAATAACTGTTTAGTTACAGTAAAATTTAAATAATAAACTACGTAGTGCACCTGACTGGTGAACTCTGCAGTCTGCAAGCAGCTATAATGCAATATTATCATTTCTGTTATAATCAATAGTCAAAAGGCGTAATAAGGATGGGATGGAAGCAGAAGGGTGGTCCCTGGCCATGACTATAGAAACCGAAAAGGCAAAAAACATATGATCACATGTTAGGTAAAAAGCGATACAAATATGATACATTTGTACCACACTTAGCTAAATAAAATTATAAAAATCAGTCGAAACTACAACTTGACGATTCTATTTCTCCGTATATGGTCACACTGAAATTTACTGTTTAGGTTATGTCTATTGGCCCGGTTAAATTTTTCCATGCATTTTCCATCATTTTTCCAATGCAGTTATTTACCAGATAGATTTATCGAATAATTTTATTTGGCGAATAAACTCCTGACTAAGGTAAGGTAATCCATTACATAGGTGTTTTTCAATGAAATTGTATCTTTTAGATAGTTATTTGGTAAATAAAAGTTATTCGGTAGAAAGTGGTAATGATTATAGTGATAATAGTGTATTGTGTTGCATTTACCAAATTGATTGGTCGAAATCCTTATCAGTAATAGGAAAGAAAAATTATCTAATAGGCAATCATTGTAATTTGTATTTTTGTGTGTTGTTTGTCTGTTTTTGTTAATTCGTAGTCATTGTATTCAAACTTCATAAATATAAACTTATTACATCCTTACACAAAATAAAACAAAGTTGCTTTTTGCGTCTGTTTCTAGTCTGTATATCTGCTTACTCCTAAACCACGCTATCGATTTTGATACGGTTTTCAGTTTCGCGTTGTGCAGAGAAGGTTTATAACTATTGAAATCTACTTCCTATTGAATACCATCCTCTAAAATTCGGATTTTAGGTACTTTTAGTCCAAAAACCTTTTTTTTTGTTGACTATGGGTTACCTTGGTAACATGGATGAAAAAAAACTGTTATTAATTATTTTTTTATATAGTATAAAAACAAAGTTGCTTTCCATGTCGTATATCTGTATTTAATTATTTTGTTTAGATTTTTTTATTTTTAATTGTTATCCATATTTTGCCGTTCAATTATGCCACGAAGAAGCCTGTCAAATATAGGTTGTAGTACCAGAGATATACCAGATAACGTTTACGTCTTAATGGAGAAACCGAAGAAAAACGGGAAATCAAGTTGCTATCTAATACAAGAGAAAGTAATAATTTGTGTAGAAATAGGAAAAACGTCTATTAAACGTGAAATTCTTCGGTCTAGGACATTTCGGCATAAGGCCGTTTTGGTGTATTTTGGCGTCATTTTAACGTATGGTATTTTTGACGTTTATTTATAAGTTAGAAGTTATTTAATAGAATTGATTTTTTTTTTATTTTAACAAATTATATTCGTCATCATTTGTAATTTATATTATAGTAGTAATGTCATTTACAATAAAAGTATAAATATGAAATAAAAATATAAATACTGATAAATTATAAAATATGTAATAAAAATGATAAAAATGTAATAATATGTTAGGTAACCTATAGGTATAATATTTAAGGTTAAAATACTTAATTCATCATTCTTAACTTATGTGCTATTCCTCTTAAAAAACTCATAATATTACGATCATTATAATCGCTGACCAATTTGAAAATTCGTTCATCGACGTCGATGTATTTTTTTTTCTTTTTTGGAGGACTTTTGCCCGTCTTTAATTGATGAAAGGTGTCTCAGCCACTTTATATTCTCTTTAAACATGATATAAATGCCCATAGTGTTAAATGGTCAACTGCCATTTGAAGATTAAGGCGACGATTTGCAGTTTCTGCATGATTATTTGTTCGATCTTCTTTATTAAGTACTCGTTCATGAACGTTCCAAATTATAGGGGGATAACGTTGGCTTCGACAACGATTTCTTATATCCGTACTGATATAATTTTCTTCAAACCATTCTAAGAGAGGAAATATTTCTTCAGGAAATTCATCATATAATAAGTTTATACTATTGTCAATATCATCAATTTTAACAAAAGCTGAAGCCAAAATCATTTTAATATAAATTTAAAATTCTGAATTATTTTTATACTTCAATAATAAACTAAGATTATTCTTTTAAAGACGAAAATGTTTTATTAAGTGAAATAAACTTCCGTAAATTTGAACTTCAGGAAAATTGTTTCTAATTGCTTTGATTGCAGCTTGCTCAAAATCGCAAGAAATTGATGTTAGTTTTAACCCGAGTTTTTATTCAAGCAGTATTTTAAATACCCGTTCATACATTTGATATTTTTTATCGGGTAAAAGAGCATAAATAAGGAGATGAACGCTATCAAGGTATTTACCTAATATTATGTATACTTGTGAAAATAAACGTTACTTTAAAAGTACCATCTACATACCAATTGGAAGACTCAAATAAAAATATTTAAAATTTGAGGACGACAAAAAGTTAAGATTCTATTGACTCCAAGTCTACTATCGTGTAATAAAAATTGTTCAGTTACACCTTCAGATGGCGAATACAACTTGTAATTTTCTGGTATTATTAATGTAATCAAATTTTTTGGAGTATCAGGTGCAGCTCCTTCGGCTGTCAAAGCTCCTTAAGTATTTGAAAATTAATTCTCAATTCAAATTATTTTCGTACAAAATGTTGATATTTATCTTTCCCGCTTGTGATAATCCACTCGTACATTCATTGATGATATTTGATGTAGGCTCCATTGTCTCACGGCTTGTTTTTTCATCTTAGTGACTGCATAATTAGCTTTAATTTTGTCTGCTTCTGATTCATGGGTAGGATGTTCATTTGTTTGTTTTAAACCATAATAGGTTTATTTAATACCTATAGTAAAAATAGATATAATAGATAATTTATAATAGATAAAATAGATAGTAAAAATAATGAAGTATTAAATTATCTCCAAAGTTTCAACTGATGTATGAATTCTCGCTATACACGAATCTTTGTATCGACATCGCCAAATTTACCTAAAACTTTTTTAATTTATTAACACTAAATGCGTCAAATAATCATCGTGTACAAAGTCTTCACGTCTGCGGAAATTTTCCATGGTAACTACTATAGTAGAACTACTTAGTAGAAACTACTACATACATAACTACTACAAAAGGTACCTACTGCCTAAATTATATTTTGCGATAATCCCAGTTGATAAGTACAAGTACTAAACATTTTATATTTTTTTCATAAATATATCAGATGGAAAACATTATTTACTATTTTATATTATATTTTATTATATTATGTTGTTTAAATCATTTTATGAAAAAATCTTTTCGCCAAAATTAATCTACCTCGAGATGGCCACGCCGAAATGTCCGGATCCGGAAGTTATTAGTCGTGACAGGAATCGACATAACTCACAAACAGCTTGCGAATCCTCCATTGAACGTGAAGTTTGTATCAGTTGTGACAGAGGTGGACATATATTATAGATATGCAATTTATTGCATTCAAAAATGTAAATATTTTGGAAAACAGCCAATCTAAATAGTGTTACATGGAAAAAAAAAAATGTTCACAAAAAATTGCTAAAGACTTCAATTTAAAAGGAGATATTTGCTCACTTATGTGTCCTAAACCTAGAAGGACTACTTATTTTGACGACCTAAATCTGTCTCTAAAATATAATCATCCCAAACTGTCATATTATGATTAATTCGTAGTCGTAAGTCGTTAGTATTTAAAAAAAATCGATAACTTCAATATAGTCTTCAAATATTTCAAATAAATCCATTATAAATGAAGTATAATTAACCAAAATATGCAATCAAATATTAAATACGAGTAGATAAGTAGATAAGTTAATACTGAAAATCAGGGTTTTTAGTATGTAGTGAGATACATTTTATGCAGTGTGAAATAACAATTTCTATAACAATAAATATTATTGATTTTATATTATTAAATAATAATAATTTGTATGATAACGTAAACCTCAAATAAAAAAAAAATTGTTTCAAAATAAATTTTAAAAAGCCATCTTAGGGTAATGGAGACGGGTGCAGCCACAGTTATATGCAATTTAATGCATACCTGTAAGCAACGATAAATAATTGCTAACGAAAAAACGATTCTGAGCGGCGTTGATACTTTGTCAAAAATATATATATATATATTATAAAATAATTTTAAAAAGTATTATATATTTTCTTTAATAATATTTGTTTAATATTGTACAGATTTCCCCAGCTTTCACATGTTTTTTCACGGCTTTTCATATTTGCTGGGAAAACTTGAGGAAATCAAGAAATGACCTCCCTAGAGTATCATTTCAAGAAAATTTCCTTTCAGAAAAAGATCTACATCGTATACACCGGAGTAAATTTTCTGGTAAAAAAAGTGTTCTCATAAAAAAAATATATATATCTTTGTAAAACCAAAAGCTTCTTCCCTCCACACAGAAACTAAAATGGTGCATTAATAAATAAATAATTTATTTGGTATGCAAAAAATAATATTTATACGTAATTTAATTTATTTTTACAACCCAGGAGTGGGAATAAATATGTGTAGTCAGAAAAAATTATTTAAAAAACCCTGCAAAAAATAATTAATTTAATTAATATAAATCGACAGAGCTATTATCATTCATTGACCATTGTTATCAATTTTTTATATTTATTCGTCAGATAAATTCTTATTTGTTAAAAATAGGTAGTAATCGATTAAGTTAATCGGCACTCCATCGAATAGCCTTATTCCGGCATTGAAAAACCGATTATTATCAATTTTTTGTTATTTATCGAATAACTCGTGTTATTCAACGAATAAATGTGATTGAAAAACGGGGCCGTATGTTCCTAAATTCATCAAATTGGTCAACCGCTGGATTTCAATGTTCCTAATTACAGTAGATAGAAAATCCACTGGAGGGGAGGAAGTTAATCGGATTCCCTTATCAGTGATCCACTATTTTTTGACTGGCTGATTATATAAACAGATGGATTTGTTCGCGCCAAATGTCACTATTATGAATATATGAAAAATTTAATTTAACCTTCTATTAATTTTTCATTCTAGTTCACCGTGTGTTCTTTGTGTGTTTTAATTTTAGATTCTAAGTAGATTAAACGGAGTACGGTTATATAATATATACTTAAATATATTAGGTCTATACCCTCATTACTCAATGCTCAATGTTAATTAATTATATAAATTAGTCAATGACACCAATCTATTTTTATTGGTATTATCTACAACTACGATATTATCTACCTACAACTTTACTGTGGTCATAGATATAAATATATCTATAGTCATGCTGTAGCTTTCCTTTTCTTGTTTTTAGCGATGCAGTTCGTTTTTTTGATTTTCCTTTTAGTTTTCTCAATAAATGGGAAATTCTGAAAAAAAAACGTAGAAAATACTGGAATGTTTATGTTAATTTAACGATTTTATTTTTTTCAATTTCGATTTTTAGTTTTTATTTGGTTTAAATTATTAAATTAAAAATTAAAAATTGCAGAGCACAAATGTTTAAACATTAGACATAGGTCAACTTATTTTCACTGATTAACTTTTTATAGACGTGAATGCGATTTTGATATAATCGTGATACATTCTGTATATTTTTAAGCTATATTTATAGGTATTTGAAATTTTGATAGTAAAAATCACGTTAATTCAAAATATGTTTTACCGAACTTCGCTCTGAACTGTCTTTCAATGATTTATCGTTGTGGCGTGCAGTTATATATTTATGTGCTTTATAATTTGTGTGAAAATTACGAAATTTTATGTATCCTACATTTTTAAATTCACATCTACAATAGTGACAGATTTATCAGCAATATCAGTACTTTTTAATTTTTTTTTTACAAGTTCAAATTAATAGGAAGAACCTTGTGTCGGAATTTGGAGTTTTTTTCAAGCTAAACAAATTTGATTCGAACAAATAAAAAAAAACTTGAAAACAACGAAAAGAATAATCATTAAAAATTAATTGTAAACTTTTATCGGGGGCAAAGAACTTTAAACGTTTTATTATAGTGGTCACGCGGTAGTTTAAATTGATCGTACGAGTCCAGACAGACCGTTGTTGGGCTACCAAAAAATGTAAACACAAAATATTCAAACCGTGCAAAACTTAATAAAGTCATTCACTTTTGTCAACACGTATGCGAATAGCGAACGTTTTTGGAAGACCGCTGTTTTCGTTAATATCTATATCAATACATTTTGGTAAGTACCTCACATAATAATCGATACTAAAAAAAGCAACAACAATATTATTTTATTATACTACCTATTATTTAAATATGAAAAAAAAATTGTATTTTATTTACAGGCTTTTATTCGGTTGAAAACATTTAAATGCCCTATATTTATTTAAGTAATTAACTGCATTTATTTTGTGTGTAAATAAAATACTAGGTACTAGGTTTACAATTTGTACAATTTAAAAAGTGCTATAATATATAAGTATATAGACATGTAAAATTATTACTAGTTGATATATAATATTAAGTAGGTATTTGTATTATAATATTACTCTTATAGACTATAATAGTAGATATAAGGTATATAATTTTATAATTCATAAGGTTTATTAATTTTGTTTTATTATGCATTGCCTACATTTTAATTGACACAAAATAATTATTTATGGTTTTAACTTTGATTATTAAAGAAAATAAGTATATATTTTAATACTGTGTACAACTGTTATTTTATTCAATTTTCTATTAAAATCCTATACTATAATATAGTATATAGCCATAATATTAAATAATTTGATGTAAAAATGAAATAATAAAGTAAAAACAAAATTATTAAATGGTTAGTACACGTAATACTCGTATATAAATAAATAAATACATAAATGTAGTCGCCTGGAGTATTATGATATGTGTATTATACGACCAGTTCTGAATTAAAAACTCATCGTTAGGTAAAATCACTAAGTCAAAATGTAAAACGCAACTCAAAAAAATATCTAAAATATATACAATTTTTTCTCGTTCAAGTAAAAATATTATTTCATTATGCTTTCAAACAAAATTCTAAATAGGATAGGTGTTGT